CTTGTAATCTTGAATTTTAAGTAATATGCATCAATATACAGTACTTCATGCATAAAAATTAGTTTTTATGAATTTTTGTCAAATAATTTATAATATAGTATAAATATTGTAAATATTCTGTATTTATTATCATGCTACTTTAGCTCCTAGATTAGTGATTGCAATTATGGTTAATTGCTAGGATTATGAGTTTGTGTACTCTATATCGTCCTCTAGTGAATATTAACTTTTAAATATTTCATTTGATATTAAAATCGGTACATTTTTTTCAAAATTTTATGATACATTTAAATTTATATTTTATTCAAAAAATAAAAACGTTATAGTTTAAATACTACATAAAATCGTATTATAACATCGACGAAGACAGAATAAAACAAAACATTAAATCGAGATGTATCTCATTGTATTGCGCGAGTACCATTCTAACACTACAAAAATAAAGAGTATCAACGAGAGAAAATTCCCTCGCCGATCCGTCGTTAAAGGAGTCTTCCATCGCTGATAGTCCGTCGGTCAAAAACTCGTAGTAATGATATCGGCGATAGATTTCCGAGGGAACCTTTCAGCGACGGATTAGCGAGAGAACTTTCAGCGACAAATCAGCAAGAGAAATTTTCAGCGACAGATCAGCGAAGGAACTTTCAGCGACGGATCACCGAGGGACGGTAGGGACTTTTAGCGATGGATTTTCTCTCGCTAATCCGTCGCTAATGTTTATTAATCTAAAAATAAATAATTTATAATTACATAATTTCTGTATTCATTTATACAAAACCTGACCATAATCAACCAAACCAAAACTATGAACAAATTAAAACCAACCTATTCATACAATTTAAAATATCCAATTCATACAATTTAATGTTCAAATTCGTACAATCTAACTACGGGAGGTGGGGAAGGGAGAAAACGTATCCTGACTATTTCATAAGCGCAACAAAATGCTCTGATAAGGCGGTCTGTTCGGCTAATGCAGTAGCTTGTTTGGCCTGTTCGGCCTCCAAATATGCCTTTCTCTTCCGTTCGGCCTCCATCTCGGCCAGATGGCATTCCTCCCGCAGCCGTGCCTCCTCCTCTACCCTTGCCAACTTCTCTCTCAAATCTGCTACCTATAAATATTCAATATTCGACAAAATCAGTAATTTGTTCGCAATTAAAGTAATAAGAAAGTATATAACAATATAACCAGCATACCTCCGCTGTTGACTCGTATGATCTCCCGGTGCTACTGCTACATATACTCGTCATAGCATAAGAGGGATCCTGGGAGGTCCCGAAACCAAAGATGTGGCCCTTCCTCCATCATCCGACACTCTGCTCCCAAAGAGATGCCTCATCAGGGGAAGGGATATCGGTACTAGATGACTGTGACTCACCCCTAAGCGATTGAAATCGCTCCTATGGTTCACCAAAAAAAACGGGTGAAATTATATATGTAGAAATTTCAGCAGTATAACAACTGTAAATCAAACATATACATTGCATGTTTTTAACAATCAAAGCATTCTAATAATATCAATGGTAGTCACATTCTCAATCTATCTACTTAGCCTAACGTCTGCCCAACAATGACAACCCAAACTAATAGCATCACTATGTTTATTAAAATATATTACCTTAAACCTACCAAACATATCTATTAACCGAAGTAGTGGTTTTAGAAAATTTAAATGATACCTAACAACTTTGGGGTAATTGAACTGAGGAGGATCGGTAGGCGGGTCAGACGAACCTTGATCGAACTTTCGGTTCGTCCAATGAGTGCGCTCAAACACCTCAGTAGCAGTCGGCTCACGACCCATTAGTTTTGCCTACATTAGACAATTAGATAAAGTTGTTAGTAAACATAGAGAACGAATTACATTTCAAAAAAGATTATACTCACCATCATGTCTTGATGTTGTGCAGTACTAATCGATCCTCCGGTGTGTCTGGACGACACCCCCTCAAACTGTGTGTTCCGATTGGCCTTATTGATCCTGTATTTCCTCTTCCAAGGCTCGGTATCCCAAACCTGTCAAAAACATAGCACATATATAAGGAGGTCCAAAACACATGATAGTTCATAAAGCTCACAATAGAGATACAAACCTGGTCAATCATCTGAAGCCAAAACCTCTATCGGATCCATACAGGACGGTGTAATCTAATCCGTTCTCACTGTTCCATTGCTGACTACTTGAAAGTCAAACTGTAGGTGTGAATGAAGTTGGAGGTCTTTTGAAACAAATGTAGGCAGTATACACTCATGATCTGCTTCACGAGTTGAGAAGTCTACATGTAAATTTTTGACTACTAGAAAGTTAAACCGTAGGTTTAGAGGAGTTTCAGATTATTTAAAAACTATAAGTATAACGGTTTAACTACTTGAAAGTCAAACATAGCTATGAATGAAGTTGAAGGTCTTTTGAACGAGTTGAGAGAGCCTATATGTAAAGTTTTGACTACTAGAAAGTCAACCCGTAGGTTTAGAGGAGCTTTGGATGACTTTAAAACTCTAAATGTAACGGTTTGACTACTTGAAAGTCAAACTGTAGGTGTGAATGAAGTTGAAGGTCTTTTGAACGAGTTGAGAAAATCTACATGTAAAGTTTTGACTACTAGAAAGTCAAACCGTAGGTTTAAAGGAGTTTTGAATGACTTTAAAACTCTAAGTGTAAAGGTTTGAACAAGTTAAGAAGCCTATGTTTTTTAAAATTTCGACGGCTTAACGGTTATAAAATGAATATTTCCAAATGTTTGCCCAACCTGATTGACAACTCAACTACAAATGAATACAATCAAGTCTAACGTTTGCCCAATAATTGTCAACCCAATTACAAATCTATATAATCAAGCCTAATGTTTGCCCAATAATTAGCAACCCAACTAATTAACAAAATATAAATTTCTAGTAATAGCAATAAAGGTAACCAACGAATATATAAAATTTAACAAACAAACATAGAACAAAAGAAGCAAATAAAGTTTTACGATTTAAAAATTTTCTAAAGAACAACTTCTAAAACACAAACATATAACTTTTATGATTTGTTTAACCTAAATGTATATGTAAAATTTAACAAACATATACGTTTGGTTTTCCTCTAAAATCCCAAATCCTAAATCTCATTTTGACTTTTAACATCATGTAATAAACATAGATTTATGTTTTAACTTACATTTATATACATGTTCTATACCTCTAAATCTCAAATCCCATATTCTATATTTTTTCTAATTAACAAAATAAATACATGTAATAAACATAATCATTTCAAGACCATTTGGTCTCTTAAATCTCAAATCCAAAGTCAAACTTGATTCTACTTAAAAATAGTTTGATTTTACCTTTAAAATCTCAAATCCTACCTTACCTTTAAAATTCCAAATCCCAAACACATTTTATCAAAATAACCCTAATATTTGTCTAACAATTGAAAACCCAAACTAACAATGATTTAAAAATAACATTTATAGATTAAAATTTATAAAACTAACAACTCAAAATAACCTTGAGATTTGCCAAAAAAAAAAAAAAAACTTAAAATTTTTAGGGTTAGAGGTTGGGAATGAAATCAGCTGGAGCAAGGGTGGGAGGTGGTGATGACAGTTGGCGGCAGGTAGAAGGTGGGAGGTGGTGCCGTCAGTCGAGAATGGAAGAAATGTCGGTCGATGTGAGAGTCAGTAGCGGAAGCAGCGTCGATCGGGAATGGAAGCAGCGCCGATTGAGGTGGGAGGTGGTGCCGCCGGGATGTGATGGTGACGGTCGCAGCACCGGTCGTTGAATGGAAGCAGCCTAGGTCGTTGAAAGTGAAGCAACCGAAAGAAACCGTAGGGAACTTGTAGAAGATGAAGGCTTGTCTGTCGATTTGGGAAATTTTCGTCGCTGATAGTCTTTTTAAAAATAATTTTTATTTTATTAAATATTTTTTGATAAATGTAATTAATAATATAATTGGTTATTAATTATTAATTAATAAACATTTATTATATACTAATTTTTTCATNGAGGTAACATTTTCACTTAAAACCTCTTAATTGCTTTTAGAGCTTCCAATGCTTGCAAAGAAAGCCTAGATTTCAATGATTCAGATTTCAGATTTCAGACGTAAAAACAAACAGTTTGACTGATTCAGATTTCAGACTTCAGCACCACCTCTTAAAATTCAGAAGTGAATTCAGACTTCAGACTTAAGCACCTCTTAAAAAACAAACGTCACCGAAGGCTTGTCTGTCGATTTGGGATTTTTTATATTAAAAAACGACAGATTTCGAAGGGAAATTTCCGTCGCTGATAGTCTTTTTAAAAATAATTTTTATTTTATTAAATATTTTTTGATAAATGTAATTAATAATATAATTGGTTATTAATTATTAACTAATAAACATTTATTATATACTAAAATATTTTTTTCATAATTATAATTAATAATTTAATTAGTTATTATTTATTAATTAATAAATATTTGTTATTTATAAATATATTTGTCTTTTGATAAATATAATTAATTAGTATTGAATAAAACCGAATAAAGCTCAACAAAATCAAATAAAATCCAATAAATGAATTAAAGCCATTAGGGCTCAATTAAACCGAATAAGGTCCAATAAAATGGATTAAAACCAAATAAAACTCAATACGGCGCATTAAGCCCTRTAAAACCGAATAAAGACCAATAAAACTGTAAAGCCAATTAAGGTTCATGCATTAAGTCCAGTAAAACCGAATAAAACCAATTAAAATGTACTAAAATAGAATAAAGCCAATTAAAGTGCCTATATATACATACACACATATACATATATACATACATACACCTACATAATACGTACATACACACACACACACATATATATATATATATAATTTGTATATATATGTATCTATGTATGTATATGTATATATATATGTATATGTATGTATGTGTGTATATATGTATATGTATATGTATATATATATATATATGTGTGTGTGTGTATATATATATATATATATGTAGACTTGGGATCACGTGAGACCAGTCTGTCTTCGTGAGACCCGTGAGACCACTTTATTACACTTGAAACTTCACAGAAAAACTTTGTGAAGGTAACATTCACAGTATTTTTGGTATGAAAGTTCGATTTTTTACTTTCACAAAGTTCTGCTGTGAAGTTTCAAGTATAAAAAAATGGTCAGACCATGTCTCACGAAAACAGACTAGTCTCACGTGAATCAACCCTATATATGTATATGTGTGTGTGTATATATATATATATATATATATATATATATGTATGTATGTATGTATGTATGTATGCATATACTAGTGCAAAATTACATATGATTTGGTTTTTTTTGTGTTTTCTTACTTTCTTCATGCTTTTCTTTGTTTCTCCCTCTATATATAGAGGTCGATTCAAATAAGAAAAATAAATATGATTAACAAAAGAAGAAATGATTAAGCAAATGTTCATACATTAATCCTTAAAAAAATASAAAAGAAGAGTCTACTTAAAAATACATATGTAAATCAAAGTTACAAATATATATTATCCATGTGAGTAGATATATATGTATTCAAATAAATATTATTTTAATTTGAAACTCCTACCACATATAATTAGTATATATTTTAATTGAAGGTGTCCTGTAATAAATAAATATAAAATTCACACATGAGACATGTGGAAAATGTGTTGATCAATCGTCTGCTTGGAAGAAGAGTTCATGTATCAGCTCGATCGATAAGTTATTTAATTAATCTGAATGCACCACATTTTGTCTGTTTCCTATCTTTATTAAACAACTTGTAGAACCAAAAGTGATAATTAAACTTATTGAGAATGATAACCGATTATTCATATAGAAAAAAGGATACATTGATTACTTGATGAACTTGCCACTACTAAATAAGAAGTCGCAACCATGTAATAAGAAGTCGCAGCCATGTAATGCAGTACATGGTCTACGATTATTGAAAGCAAACAGACAGACAAATGAAATTAGGATCGATAATGCATGCATGCTCATCAATCATCCTCAASTAGCAGACGAAACCAACTCAACCTTAATCTCACCAACRGTCACATCCTCGCACCCTTCCCCGGGCACCAATGTCACCAAAATATACTCATCGTTCTCGGCTTGTATGTCCTCCAACAGCTCATTCAACCCGAACGTTGCCCCACTCCTCATCACCATTTTGTGCCCATGCAAATGTGCCAACTGCGAGAAACTACCTGCAAATTCACTGTCCGTCGGAGTGCTTGGGGTACCGTCGTCTAGGTCATTTACAAGCACATCAAACTTGACAAATTTCTCGCCATCCAGCTTGATATCATTGACATACAATAGCTCATAGCTTTTCTTCTTATCCTCTTTGCTTCTCTTTGTAGCTGGCCTCTTCACCAGGACCTTCACTGTCTGGTCTAGTTTAACACGGAACTTCGTCTCCTCCACTTTTTTCACCGTTCCAAAGGACTTGGCTGCAACATTTGAGTTCGTGTTACGTGGAACTGGTCGGCTTCTAAGCCAGGGGAGTGGGGAMGGTTCATATACGTAACTTAGATTCTCCACGTTTACACAGTCTCTGTTGTAGACACGTACAAGCTCTTTGTTCTCGTCATAAAACACGTATGACGCGTTTAGCCAATCAGGGTCTGTAGGGTCGRTGTGGTCGGGGTAATCGGGCCCCTGCATATCCTTCCATAATGCCCACATACGGTCCACATTGGCATGGTGGGTGTAGAACAGAGGATCCCAACCTGCCGAGTAGAAGTTGCCCATGTCCTCGTTATTGGGCATTCTTGGGTCACCCACCCATATGTGCACCGCCGTGTGAACACCAGACTCGATTGGCCCTGTAGAATGCTGTATATCAATGGGGTCATCTCCAGCTCTGAACACCCCACCAAAGAAGGTGTCTGCGTTRGGGGAGTTGGTTATCATCTGCTTATACATTAAAGTCAGATTTGCGCCTATCTGTTGTACGCAAGTATAATCGGCACTGGCAGAGTTTTGGAAATCCATGTTGAGGATGGCTGGTGGGAGATGATCCACGTTCCGAAATRCGTCAAAGGCAGGGTTTGGTAGCCTTGAGTCGGAGTTGGGCAAATAAGTTCTAAACTCTTTAAAAAATCGCATGTTTCGTTGGCTTAAAAAATAGGGTTAGGGGCATATTTTATTATTTTCGCATAGAGCATCAAAAATCTTAGGACCGGCCCTCCCCTAAAAGCAAGTTCCTCCGGTCCAGATTCAGTGTAAGTTTTTYGGATTCGAGTCGCTTCTCATTGTTATCGGTGGCATTGCACGAGACTTTGAAGCTGCGGTGGGTAGATTGTTTGGAACGTTGGCGGGAGGTGGAAAAGAAAGGCGAATTTGGGAGTCTTTTGGTGGTGGTGGCCGGCGTAGTGGCAGTGAAGGAAGTAGGAGTGGCAAGAGAAGCCATTGTTTTGTGTGTCTTAATTCACTGGTTCCAGCTTGCCTTATATAGAGATTTTGTAAGCCACCTAACCACCCCCGCCCATGCTTTATATTATGAAATTCATGTTTTTTATAGATTGTTGTTTAATTTGATAGTAATTTTAATAATATTCTGATCTGATCTGCTTCTAGTTTAACTTAACTTATTTATTGATGATGATACAATAATGTGTGTGTATATATATATATATAAAGCAATCTTGTGGAGCTGGAATATTGATGATTGTCTACAATCAATAAATTAATTATTGCAGGGAAAAAAACCACGTCGATGCATGTATCATAATATTAATTTATCAATCATCATTAATACTATTATTGATTTCCAGATCAATAAAAAGATTGGGTAATGCTAATATTGGATGTATTCAAACACTTTACAAACTTAAGCTCATACATATATATATATATATATATATATAGGTTGATTATTATACAACCTTTAACATTTGTACAACCAATACAACCCAATCTCAACCGTCCATTTAATTTGATGAATATGTGATTTCATAGAAGTTTTGATTGTTTCCTAATATAAAGTATTGATCATAATTAATGAAC